ATATTGGAAAACTGCTCAGCAGCTAAATTTTTATATAATACTTAGTATCTGGAGATTAAAATGTAATGGTTATAAAGATTAAACTGCTTCTCCTAAATATTTTTAGATCTTTGTTTTCAATAGTGCTTCTCCAAAAAGCATAACTAGTCAATGAATAGTTTAGCATAGTCCATAGCAATGATTCAGTCCATTTCTCCAAGAAATTTTTTTAGCAGTTTCTCTTTCAAAAATCATAAATTTCCTTTTTGTACTTCCAGAGAGCTTGTGCACAAGTGGTGTCCATTCCATTAGTTAGAAATGCTCAGCCTGTTTATCAATGGATTTGAAAAAATATTCATTGTTCAAATAAAAGTATATAAAGAGCTTGTATTATTCATTTGAAAAATAAATGTTAAACTAGTTTAAATTGAAAACATTTTGTAAGAAACTAATTAAAATTAAATAAATAATTATATTGTTTGGAACGTGTGTAATGTCAATTAAGAATTGCACTTTTAATAAGAATTGTTAGTAAATAATGCGAACCTCAATTGTTTCTAATAAAAGTTCTCATGTTTATTAAATAGGTTTTTTTAAAGTATCTTCTGATTTTTCATAGTATCTGTTGATATCGTCATTACTTTTGATATAAAAACTACTTTTCCACCTTTTAAAGATACAAGCCTAATGGTTTGAAAAATAGGATAACCTATTAATATTAACTTTTGATACAGTTATATTATCATATCACTTTTCTAATAAATGCACATGTTCTCTGCTGTAAATGTTTCCTTTTTGCAGATTACAGCCAAGTATTTGTAATGGTTTATATAAAAAATAATGAAATGCTAGTTTAGCTAGAAATGGAAATTATAGCTATTATACTATGTTATGTTTAATCCTAATACTTATCTGCTCGGTGTGTAAACAATCTATTTTGTTAATTTTCAATTGAAAATGAGTATCTAAACAAACTAAATTATATTTTCAGGTAAATGTAACTTCAAAATACATCAATGTACTTACTGCCCTTATTCAACTGTTCAAATTGGGCATTTTAATCAGCATATTAGAGTTCACACTGGAGAACGCCCGTTCACTTGTGAGACGTGTGGAATGTGTTTTAAACGTAAAGAACATTGGCGAAATCACCAGGTTAGAGTTCATACTGGAGAGCACATTTTTACTTGTAACACGTGTGGGAAATCCTTTAAGCGTAAAGGACATTGGCAAAATCACCAAATGACTCACTTGAACACATGAAAATTTTATGAAAGGCATTTTTTGTAAGATTTATAATTATTAATTTTATTTCAACCCCCATTTCCTTGTTCTTATTTCCATGTTGTAATTATTAATTTTATTGTGTGAAAAGCTTTTTTTGTGCGTATTGAGTAACAATAAAAGTTTTTGAGGAGGGAGAACATACTAAAAATTTCCGCCAGCAACATATTTTTTTAAAATAAAATGATTAAGTTGTAAAGAGTATGTTGTTCACATACCTTTTATTTCATAAACTAAATTGAAACTTAACTGCTTATTTGTAAATAAATTATAATAACAGAATTAAATATTCCCTTAATTAAATTAGTGATTTTTTGTAATAATAAACTTTTTTTGTGTATTATTTATCATATTCATTTTATTGCTTCTTGTCACAGTTTTTATTGATTCAATATAAATGAATTACTTGTTGAAATAGATACAAATGTGTTACTTTTTAAAATGAAGTACATATTATCACTTGACATTTCAAATTATCTTATTACTCATATATTTTTTAAAAAGAATTCCTTGGGATTCAGCAACTTTCTGTCTTGTGGTAATAACTGGTTATGCAATTTATTAAATATAATATGTCTTCAAGTTATCCTTTTGAAAATGATTCTCCGTTGCCTATTTTTGTACAGAAATATTTTGAATGTTCAAAGAGAGTCATATATGTTAAAATAATATTTAGTAAGTTTTGAACATTTGTTCAATGTTTGTAGAGTATTTAAATTGGTTCTAATCCTTACATTCGTTATAATTTTTATAGATAAATGTCTTTTTTTTACAGATTTTCTAACGTTTTCACGCTATGATCAATATCCTGAAAGAATTGTTGGTCGACAGAAGAAAAAAATTGCCAAAGTTTATAATTGTGCAAACTGTTCGTACTCTAGCAAGTTATTGGGTAATCTTAAGCAGCACCTTTTAACTCACACAGGACAAAGACCATTTGAATGTAAACATTGTGGAAAACGTTTCAGACGAAAAGCACATTGTCAAACACATGAGATCACTCATTTATCTTTAAATCTAATTTGAGTGTTCACGCTCAATTCGATCAATTGTGTTCAAAAGAATGATAAAGTAGCAATTTTGTTCTTTTTTTTAATTGGTGTCTTTTTTGTCTAACTTTTTTTAAAATTAAATGGAATTTAAATTTTTTATTTTATTGTAAAAAAAAAGTCATGTTACATATGCACCATTTGCTTTAATAATTCATTTAAAAAATTTCTTTATCAGAGTTTGTCAAATTGATTTTTTAGTTATCTGTTTCGTACTAGAAGTTGAATTAAATGTAAAAAAAATAACTGATTTCAAAGTTAAGTATTAAATTGTATATCTGGCAGCGGTCACAAAACTGGATTCCCACTGGTCAAAAGAAATCTTTATTACATTTTTTTTCTTTTAAAACTATTGAATATCCTATCATAGAGTTAATAGTAACAGTAAGTAGTCATTGTGATTAAAGTTATTTAATTTTAAGATTTATTACTACTATTCCATTTGGCAATGGAAATTTTATAGCAGACCTTCACTTAGTGATTATTTTGTATCGCTATAAAATGTCTAATATTTAATGAAAACCTTGCTTTATGAGGAAGATTTGATTTCTGTAGCCGATTTTTTTTAGCCTTCATGACCCTCTTGGCTAACAACAAAAATTTTTTCATTTTTTTTGGTGGCAGTTAATTATTTTCACTTTTTTTATGCATAATCAGATGTTCAAATGTACATAATCAAACAAGGAACTTATATTCAACTGTTTTGTTTATTATAAACAATTGTATACAGTTAAATTAATTTGGGGAAAAAATTATTCTAGTATGTGTAGTGTGCAAAACAAAATCCAAAATTTAAATGGAATCTGTCAAGTAGATCTTGTTATTAATTGTATGATTGATAATTAAATGCGAAATTTATATTCAATTATATTGTTTATTGAAAATAGGTGTATGCAAAACAAAACCAAAAATTTAAATGGAATCAGTCAAATAGATCTTGTTATTATTGATATGATTGATAATTAAATGAGAAATTTATATTGTTTATTGAAAATAGGTGTATACAGTTCAACTAATTAGGTAAAGAATTAGTTAGGTATTTCTAGTATACATTGTGTACAGTGTGCAAGACAAAATTTAAAATTAAAACAGAATCAGTCAAATAGATCTTGGGGAATGCCAATATTTAGTCAATTTTTCTCAAATGTTTTATTTAGTCATTTTGCATAACATATATTAAAATTTAGTAAATGTTTGTGCAGCTTAAAATTCAAAAAGTTTTTGACCATTATTAAAATAAATAATGAATAAAACTAATTAATCATAAAAATATTTTTTATGCAGAATTATCTTTTGATGAACGAGTTTATAATTGTATGCAAAAGTTTTCTAATTTTCTTAAATAGTTCTAGAGATTTTGGTGAAATATGCAAAAAAGTGAAATCCCTTCAGAGACTGCAACTATCTGCTGCTCTCCTGCCTAAATTGTAACCATATTTTTTAGATTGTTGCTACCTTAAAGTATCATTTGCATAAATTTATTGTCACATTGATAGTCAAAAACATTTTAGTACATGAGAATTCAAATATTAAATCAAAAGTTATTAAGAATTTTTTTAATGTTCTACACATTATATATTTTACATACTTATTATCAGTTTGGTGCTTCTTTAAACTCCACTTTTATGGTTTCCCAAAGATTTAAGTGGGAAGAATACTCCCACCTCATTCTTCCCATTTAAGTGGCTGTCCATAATGCATGACATAAAGTAGTTTGAATCAGATCTTTTAAGCATAAAAATAACATTTTAAAACCTTGGAAATTATAAGATAACTATAATTAATAATTATTTTAATCATCTGTTAATTTTCTTTATTATCATTTTGTCATTTCTTAATAAATGTTGGTCGTTTTCTATTTGTTAATACTTTGATATCACATAATCCATTGTTCTATAGTTTTTATTTAATGTCAAAGAAAACCTTATTTTTTCTATGATTTTTATTTATTAACTATTTCGCCAATCTTGTCGACGTTTAGAGTATTTTAATGGTAATACTTATTTTTAGTTTTTAGATGGAGATTACACTGTTATGTTTTAACTGGATTTTGTTGTTATGTAGATTTGTTTTATTTATCATATCCCTTGTTGCAATGTTTGTTGATATAAAATTTTAATTCATAAAATTATTTTTTAAAAAATGAAAGCAATGGCTAGGATGAAATGTAATAGCTTTCGGATGTATATTATTTTAAGAAATAAAGATATAAAAATTTCACACCCTTTTTCTTGTTTTTTATTAGTTAATTTATCGATTATATTTTTATATCTTATTGAGTTCGCAATATCAAAAATCCAATTAAAATTTTTATTATAAATTTTTTTTTAAAATTTTGTCAAGAGTTCAAAAATAATTTTAGTATTCCTTTTATACTTTTTGAAATGTACAGCAAATTACGTATGTTATAATTTATTTTCCAGTTATTATTTTTCTGCTTCTTTTGAAATGTATCTTAAAACAGAGTATGAAATTTCCCTGACCATTGGTAACCAAATATTTAGAACAAGCGAGAAAGTTATAGTTGGGAATTTGAGTTTGATTTCAGGGCTGTATTTGATAGTTGGTCTTACTGATATTTTAATTTTCTTATCTTGAACAACTTTGAATGATACATGGATGATAATCCAACTAACAATCCCTTAGTTTACTTTAATATTATTTTGAGATAAATGTGTTTCCATTTTTCAGATCTGCATTCTTTCAGGGCATGTACAGCCAAAAGTTCTAACATTTTAAAAATTGTTTCTATTTTTCGTAAAAATAGTGCTGAGTGAAAATTTTTGCCTCTGTAAAATTGAAGTTTCGTGCCCTGTTTTAAAAGTTTAAAATATGTTATTTATGCCTTGTGATCATATTTTTTAAAAACAATCTTTTCTTATTTTGATGTTTAAAGAATTATTTTTTAAGTTAAAAAATATTTTGCAACTTAAAAGTAAGAAGAAATCTTATAATTTTTTAGTACATTTAAATCATAAAAATGTATGTTTTTTTTCTTCTCCATTCTTCATAAAATTTAAATTGTATTCAATACATTTTTATTTTTGCACCGGTTTAAAAAACTGCCTTTTCATATATAAGGGATTTTTTATAATTACACATTAAAAATAAGCTATTTATTTGAACTAAATGATTTGTGTGTTATAAATTATTAATTCTTTTAATTTTTTAGAAACACTCTACTGCCATATTGATGGAAAAAAAACTCATTTTTGTCCATATTGTGAATATTCAACACGCCGTAAAGACCACCTGAGAATTCATATTCGAGTTCATACAGGTGAAAGACCTTATGCTTGTCAAACTTGTGGTAGAGCTTTTTCTCAACTGAATTCTCTAAAAAGTCACGAAAAAATTCACACAAGGAAGCAAGTTTTCAAATACCCTCCAATTGAGTGGGTTTAATCCATAACTTTACAACTCACTTTATGGTGGTAACTTTTTTTAAAAATGTAGTTTTTTTTTGTAATATAATATGTACAATAATATTTATAATTTATGTTTTTAAAAATTATGTTGAATTTTTTTCATAGTGGAACTTGATTTATTTAAAATAATGGAACTAAACCTACTTTGGAAAATCAGAATGTTTAGATTATTGAGATTAACCATTTTCATTAACGGATGAAATATATCTATATTTTTTTTACATTTAGCAAGATTTTGTAAGAATTTCTTGTTATTGTACAAGTAGAAAGTTTTTTTACTTTCTACAAGGTAGAAAATAAAAAAAAATTTGGCCGAAAAAACAACAAAAGAAAAGTCTTTAGGCATTGCAAACTCCGTGTAAATTTATAAACTGTGACAATTTAGCTTATTGTTAAAAATAATATGGTAAAAGCATGATTGTCAGTAACACTTAATACCAAGGGATGGCAGAAAATCAAAAATATTGAATAATTCTGACCTTTTCAAGTCAGTGTGCTAAGTGTTTAAACATTTATCTAGGAGTAAAAAGACTCCAAATTTAATATAGTTAAAAAATAACAATTACTCAAGTTTTAGTTTTTAGTCACAAATAATGATGCAATATCATGAAAAAATAGATATATATATGTTTCATCATTATAGGATTTTTCGTCACAACAGTAATTATATAATAATATTAGCTGGAATAATGATAAATTTCTTGTTGGAATGCTTTTATCGTGTATCCGATAACCGTGTATCATCCGGTGTCAAATAATCAGATTTCTATGATATTACTTTAAATTAAATATTAATATTGTAATGACTAATGAGTAAATAACATTTATTGAATAGAAATGCAATAATACTAAAATATATAGTGCTTGGTAATACTATAGCAACAAGAAAGTAAAGTCAAGGTTATTAAGGTAAAGGGGACTCCATTTTCAAATTACTTGGGATCCATAGTGACCCCTTGCCAACCAATAGGATTATTACATTAATTTTAGTGTGTGTTTTTTTTTAAAAAAATTTATTAAAATTATTTTGAGAAACAGTTACAGTAGTTGAATTTTCTCATTAATTTTTGGTTGGAAGCCATAGGACCACAAATTTATCTCTCAGATTGAACTATAAAAAGAGCCCATTTTTATATCAGTGAAGCTTTTCCTCTGTCTTTTTCTTATTACTGTCAAATCCGGAAATTGGACAATGATAAGTATGATGTTAATGGATATAATAAAAAGGATTTTCAAAACATTTTATTATCTAGTGTGCAATACCTTTAAAATAAGTTATATGGGGAAATATGAAATCTTGTGGTGTTAAGTCATCAGAAGCATATAATTTTACAGAAGAGATGAAATGTAAATTGATTTAGATATTGAATTAAAATTTTCTGGATTATCAAGTTCCACTGTTTTTCGAAATTTCGTATCTGAAATAAGATGGCAAACTTTATTTTGATATTGAATTATGATCTGTTGTAATTTATTTATTTTTTATATGTTAAAATGTGTGCAATAATGGTATATATTTTATTTACTTTTCCTACTAAATTTTATTTGCTTATTCATTTAAATAGTTTAAAGCTTTTTTGTTCTATATAAAGTTTCTATTGCTATGAATTTATAAAAGAACTTGTTAGTTATTTGTTTATTTGCCAAGTGGTGAATTTTATTTAATTTGTCTATTTAGAATAATGATCTGTTTTAAGAATATTTAAGTATTTTTTTTTCATTCATCGTATTGTTTTATCAATTTCCTGTTATTGACGTATTTTTTTCTTTGATTCTAAATCATTGAAATTGAAGCTTTTGTCTCTTAAAACTTAAAGTGAGCACAAAAAAAAAGTGCGGAAAGCATTTTCTACAATTAATCTTTGTAAAATAACTTGGTATGTTAAATGTCTTTTCATATGTCCACACCAAAAGTGCCTTAATGTATTAAATAATATTTTAAAGTGATGAAAAAAACAAATAATATTTTGAGCTATTTAAAATTAGAATAAAATTTCAAGTATTGTGATCATAATTAGAATGCAATTCTAAAAAGCAATTTGTGTTATGTTTAAAATTTTCAAAACAAATTAGTTCTGAAATTATAAGCTTTAAATTATGCAGACTTTAAGTATGTATTAATCTTGTAAGAATTTAACTTAAAAAGAAAATTATTTTTTAAAAAAACAAAGTATTTTTTTCAGTTTTGTATTTTTTGATCAATTTTTCTGTAATTGATTAAGACTAGCAAGAGAACTTGAATTTTCAACAAATGAAGTTTTTATTTTCATCCAAACGTAACAAGATTATGTATTTCAGTGTTGCAATGTGCAGGAAGCATTTTTTTGTAAATGAAAAGGTTAAAAATAGAATTATTTTTAAATTATTCAAATCTCTTTTGTTATGTTTTGTGTTTTTCTGAAAAAAAGAATAATTGTTGATGATTATGTTAGTCCGTGGTATATATTTTTAAGTGAAAAAATGTCTGAAAATTTGGTTTTCTGTCTGGTTTTTCTTCTATTTGATGATTTGAAGTTTATATTTGTTGCTGTTTAGGTCAAATAAATTTTCTTGTTGTTTCTGACCTTAATATGTTATAAATAAAATTTTATAATTAAATACATTTTACGCATGTAGATTCTTGCCTTCTTATCTTTATTTAAAATAATTGTATTTGTATTTATTTCTTATCTTTATTTTTTAATAGTTCCTAAAATATCTACTCTTGCTTTGAAAATTCTGAAATTTTAAAGATTTCAAACACATACCTATATAATCAGTGAGTGGCTGATAGTGCTGCTCTTAAAATACTAAATTAAAAAATGCAATGAACTGTTTTTGCAATTTATTGCTATTTTAAGTATATTGGTAAAATTATTGCAAATTGTGTACTAATATATAACGATTATTTAGCTTTCAGAGAATAGTTAAATAAATAAAAAAAAGCCACCCCTGAAAAAAATCCTGGCCTACATGCATTATCAGGAGAAAAATTACCTGATTTTTTCCCCAGGTATAGCTGGAAAATCTCAATGAAAATCCAAACCATATTTTATCTATACCATGCAGTTTTTCATCAGACAACTATGATTTTTTATTTGTAATGTCAAATATTAGATTTTGTGAGCAAGAAATGTTGTTGAATGAGGATAGAAGCATTGAAGTCTTACTAAAATGGGAAATTTTTTATAATAAATAATTGTAATAGATGTTAGATTTATTTAACTCGATTCTCTATAACTGATACGGACAATACTGAGACTGGTAATTTTTCTGGTATAGAGGAGTTTTCATGGTTTTTTTTATAAAGAAAATTGCGATTTTCCCTGATTATTCCCTGTTTTTAATTAAAACTGTAAGCAATTATAGGTTTTCTCCGTTCTCCCTGACCCATGGAAATCCAGAGTATTGATTGAATGAGTCCAGACTTATCAAAAGATATGTTTTTTTTTTACACCAAATGTTATACTATGTAATTATATGGCTTAAATTTCTTTGAAGCCTTTTTATTTACTTTCCTATATTAGATATGAACGAATGAAAGTACACAAAGAGTACTTTAGTGAAACCTTAGTATAGTTAAAAGAGATCTTTGATCAGCAAGTGTACTAATTTTATTTTATTGGCTCTTGAATTTTTTTTAATGTTGCAATAAATTTAATTGTTTAATAATTTAATTAAATTCATAATTATAGCGAATTTTAAATTGTCTTTTATGGTGCGAATCTTCTATATCGGTATTTGATATCTGTGAAGCAGAAAAGTTCAATATTGTTGCATTATTAGCTTAGTTTTTTATGGAATGTAATTATTTTACCTG